GCCGATTAGGGAATATATATATATATACTCTATTTAAAATAATACCTATATTCGTAAACAAAATTGAATAAAGAAATATTTTATGATTAAAAAAGTAATTTATCACATTTCTTATTCTAACATTTTTCGTCTTCTCTAATATGTTTAACAAATCGATAATAATTTATTGGCATCTCGTTGTTAACCTATATAAAAAATTTATCTCAAAGAAAATAAAACCTTACCCAGAACAGGAAGAGAAATGGAACGAGGATGTGATAACCATTAGGCATTGATGTATACACCTTTTATGAAATTAATTCATAAAAAATGTACGAAGATTTATTAAAAAACGAAACTAGCTTCACAATAAACCCTTTGTCATCTTCACTTCAATAAACATTAATAGCTTTCATTGAAAAACTTTTGCTTCATTTAATAAGTGCAGACACAATCTGTAGAAATTTACGATTCATCGTGAGATTCAATAATCTCGATAGATACCGACGAAAAATACAATATTTTTGAATCTTTGTTTGAAAATAACTATAATTGATGACAGTCATTGAAAAGTAGCTTTACACTATCTATTTTCCAAACGATTAAACAGCCTTGTTCGGAAATTGCAGGGTTAAACGAGTTAAACTATGTTTGCTACGGTGTTCGTCAGAATTTTAATTAAAATTACTAATTAAAAGCTACATTCAAAATTGTCGCATTTTTGCAGTGATAGACAGAAACTATAACGGGAAAGACGCTTTTATTACCTCGTGACTGGAGGGTTAAATCAAAAGATCCTAAAACTTTTATATTGGATTTTACAAGACTTGTATGCGTGAAAAACAGATGTGTCAAGAGCCGATTTTTTCTCAGGAATGCGTATAGAGGTATCAAGTTGAAATTAATATCAAATAGTTACGTAGTGTAGGTACTTCCCATGCCCTAGAATAATCAAATTTTGCCAGAAAGCAATATCTTATAGAACAAGTATAGAAAAAATCTAAAAACAGGAAATTTTTTATTACATAACCAAAAGACAATTTTTTAATTGTAATATTATAAATAAAATGGAAGCAGTACTGACAGATAAGTACTGTCTGAAAATATATAAAAGTAAGACTAAAATACTGGTATGCAAGGGAAGAAAAAGTAGAGAAAGAGCGAATATAAAGCTAGGGGACGAAAAATTAGAAGAAGTGGCTGATTTTAGATATCTAGGAAGTCAGATAAGTCAGGACGGAAAGAATAGTTGGGATATGAAGCAGAGGATAGCGCAGGGTCGTGTCGCCTTTAATAAAAAGAAGTCACTTCTATGCTCGCGAACGGTTAATTTAAAAATTCGAAAAAGGTTTAAGGGTGTATGTTTGGAGCGCGGTGCTGTACGAGTGCGAAACATGGACAGTGGGCGCGGCGGAAAAGAAAAGGTTAGAAGCGTTCGAAATGTGATGTTAAAGGCGAATGATGAGGAAACCGTGGATAGAGAAGGTTAGAAATGAAGAGGTATTAGAAAGAATAGGAGAACAGAGGACTCTATGGAAATCAATAATAGGCGAGATAGATTGGTAAGACACCTTCTTAGGCATGAAGGTCTATTCAGAGACATATTAGAAGCAGAAACAGTAGTTAGGAGTGGTAGAGGTAGACCTAGATTAGATTACTCTTCGCAAATAGTTAAGGATGTGGGTTGTTCTAGTTTTAGGGAAATGCGAAGTTTAGCTCAGGATAGGAAAGAGTGGAGGTACGTGTCCAACCAGTCTTAGGACTGACGACCTTATGATGATGATGAATATTGTAAATATAAGTTTTGTGACGAATTTTGGGGAGAAACTTGAAGACTCGATTCCCGTGACAGATCGACAATTTGCATACCTACAAGTTTGTACAGAACCCCCGGTGTCCTCAAATCTAGCCGTCTTTAGGGTTCCGTACGTTCTAATGAAAAACGAAACCCTTGCAGACTCGTATGTTTGTTTGTCCGTCTGTCCGAGTCAATTTCTTTCGAATTAACTGGACCGATTAAGCTTAAGTTTAGTACACAGATCAGTTATTTACTTGTAGATTACAGAAAAATTAATATGAAGTCCATGGTCTCAACAAAACATTATTGTGTATACAAATTTACATTTGCAGTTTGAATGTATGGGAGAACATGTTTTTTTTTTAACTACAATGCTAAGTTGGTTCTCGGGTTAGAATTCCGTATGCCCAAATGAAAAACGGAACCCTTATAGGATCTTTCGTGTGTCTGTCTATGCGTTTTTTTTTTCTAAAGCTGTGGGTAGTTTTATGGAAAGCTTTTCTAAAAGGTTACCTTAACCCTTTAATTATAGACTGTTTGTTTTCAAATATTCAGTAAAATTAAAGGCAAGGAAGGTTTTTACTTATGAAGAACCAACACTGACGTTTCGCCTCAATTGGGAGGTTTTTTCAAGGTAAGTTCTTTAGTTATGTTAGAAAACGTTCCAAATAGTTCGGTGCTTGTAACTGATACATAATATTAAATAAATAAATATTGATTTAAACAACACAATTATGAACACAGTAATAAGTAATTAAATGGTTAAAAACTAACACTAACCTAGAGAAAACACAAAAATAAATGAAATAATAAGTTAAAGTATTATTAAAAACCTTCTCAAGCATGAAGGTCTAGTCAGAGATATATTACAGGCAGAAGTGTTAAGAGGAGTAGAGGCAGACCTTGATTAGATTACTGTTCGCAAATAGTTAAGGATGTGGAATGTTCCAGCTTTAGGGAATTGCAAAGATTAACT